CCGCCGCCGGGACCACCAGGGCCAGCTCCGCCACCACACCAGGACCACCGCCGCCGGGACCACCACAGCTCGCACTGCCACCATAGCTGCTACTGTCACCTCCAAACCCATGGTAGCCACCATCACCTCCTCCATAGCTACCTCTGCTGCCACCACCGCCTCCGCACACCAAAGTTTCCACCTCCATCAGAGTAGTGGTGCTGCCTGTGGTGTGGCCTGGCTTCCACATTACATAAAGTTGCCAGATCTACCCCCATGACTTCTTTGTGCTCCAGCAGACTGCTTTTCTTATTGAGAAGGGACTTCTTTCACTTCACAGTTATGCCCACAGAAATACCACCAATAGCGTGATATTTCTAAGCAATTTTATTTCCACTGTGTCATGATCACAAACAGTTACAAAAGCAAATCCTCTGCTTGTCTTCCATAACTCCCATGGTTCCAGTCTTGCCATACTTTTCAAAGTAGTCTCTCAAATTATATTCTCTATCTCTTTTAATTCCACCCACCAAAATTTTCTTCACAGTTAAAGGGCACCAGCCTTTATAGAATCCTCTCCAGAAACAGTTCTCCTTGGTTCCACTGATGCCCATCAACCTCATGTGGTCAATCACCCACCTCTTCAACACAAGAGTAAGTCACAAACCTGAAGCCCCTGCACCTTTGTGTGTGTGGAGGGGGTCTCATCACCACACCATCCTCAAGTGGGCCCCATTCTCAAAATGTTCCCTTCAATGATCATCCATAGTTTGAAAGCTCAGACCGCAATGAGCAGTTCCTTCACCAGCCCTTTGGATCATGGCCCTCCATTTTGAGATGAGACTCATCTCTTCCGACTCGAATGCACGACACATGAGAACACGACTCTTCATGAAGCATTGACAGTATGCACCAGCCAGTGCCGAGCTGTTACAGAAGCCACTTCCCTGTGAAGTAGGACCCTAGTCACTCCAGTGACATGGAAACAGATCACACAAGGAGGCCAGACATGACACATTTTCTGCCAGGTCACCCTAGCTCACTGCTCTTTTCTCTGAGCCTCAGTGGTGTCATCTTTGAAATGGGCCACACCACTGAGACCTTTCCTCACAGGCTTGCTGGTGCTCACAGGGCCAGGGCCAGAGGGAGGCGGGCCAGACCCTCACCTCAGACGTGAAATGGAAGGAGGCACCAGAGGACTTGATCAGGGAGCGAAGCGCTGTATTCACGTAGTTTTAAAATATCAAAATGAGTGTAAACATGTGATGGACAATGGTGACAGTGGCCCAATGGTGGAAATAGCTGAAATGTTCACCAGTGGAATGACACGTAAGTAGACCATAGGCACCCACACTGAGAAGTGCTAATCAGAGAAAGGAGTGAAGCCCTGGCACAGCTGCCATGTGGATGAACCCGAAGACGGGGTGCTCAGTGAGAGAGCAGACACAAAGGGCCACAGCACGTGCTCCACAGTCATGAGGTGAGCAGAGACAGAAGGTCCACACACGAGCAGCAGATTGCTGGTTATCAGGGCTGGGGCTCACAGCGTCTTATTTTGGCTGATGAAATGTTCTAGAAGTGTATAGAAGCGGTGGTTGTACTACATCAATGTACCAAAGGCCGCTGAACTGTTTATTTTTAAATTATTAATTTTGTTATATGAATTTTACCTCAATAAATACATCAGTGTATATACACATATGTCTTGATTTTTTTTATTATATTTAATGTGTATATAGTTAATATAATGAACAAGATTTTAAATGAAGATAGGGTTAATTCTGCACTGACTTTGCTCACCATACTCTGTTCCTGTCCTGGTCCCAGTAAAACTGCTAAAACAGGAGCTTGGCAAAAATATATTTGGTGGTACAACCCCAACAACACAGGAAACAATAAACTTAAAAGTACCTCTAAAATGATGTAAAAACAAACTATTAAAAAAAAAAAAGCTTTGTGCCTCAAAGAAACCATCAAAAAAACAAAAAGGCGACCTACGGAATAGGAAAAGATATTGACTCATCACACCTTTGACAAGTCGCTAATTCCCAAAGTAAATGAAGTACTCCTACAATCCTACAAACCAGCAACACAGCAACAAAGACAACCCAGCCAAAAAATGGGCAGGGCCCTCCCTGGTGGCCCAGTGGTTAAAAGCACAGCCCTAAGAAGCCAAAGCCGCTTCCGCATGAGTTTGATCCCCGCCCGCCCCAGAGGAGATCCACATGGCGTGGCAACCTCTCCTGACCCGCCTGCTGCTCCCCTCAGCAGTGTACTTCAACGATCTGCCTGTTCTGCTCCCCACTCTGTCTCTGGTGAATCCTCTCACTGCCCCTGCACCTCTGGCCTGTACCCCAGTTCTGTATGCATAAATAGATAAATCATTTAAAAAAAAAAGGGCAGACTCTCTAAATAGACCCTTCTCCCAAGAAGACATTCGGCTGGTCAACAGGCACATGAAAATGCTCAACATTACTTATTGTAAGGGAAATGCAAATCCAAATGACATGTCACCTCACCCTGTAAGGAAGGGTGGGGGCGGCCAGTGTTGGGGAAGGTGTGGAGAAAGAGGGAACACTCATCCAGTCTTGGTGGGCATGTAATTCCATGCAGCCTCTATGGGAACAGTATGGAGAAATCTTTAACAAACAAAATGAGAAGTCCCACATGATCCAGCAACACCTCTACTAAGGCTTTACCCCCAAAATGCGAAAACACTAAATTGAAAAATTCAAGTACTCCCTGCAGCACTACCACAGCCGCCAAATCACAGAACCAACCTAAGTCCACGATGGCAGATGACTGAATAAAGGAACCGTGGCCTATCTGCTCAATGCAATTCAGATATTCAGCCATTCAAATATTTAAAAAGATGAAATAGTACCTGTTGGGAGAAAGTAGATGGGCCTTGAATGGAGGTGATGATCCCAAGTGAAAGAACTCAGAAAGTGAAAGATAGATAACTGAGGAATACAAATACTGGCAAACACAGCAAAGGCAGTTTTTAGACTCTGAATGCTGCTTACCAGAGGGATCAGTGGGAGGGAGCATGGCACAGAGGAAAGAACAGGATAAGACATTAGCAAGGGAAGTTTGGCGGAGGCTGAGTGAAATATGTGCAAATATAGAGGAGTAAAAATGTAACCCCCAAAGTTATACAGATATGCAAATAACTGACAATTCAATGGGAGATTAGTCTCAGCTGGAGCTTGCCAGGAAGAATGTTTCACACAGTAGCATTATGCATCTTTGGCGCTGATTTTTGACAACCCCCCAATTAGAGCTCTCCCCCTCCACATCTAGCTAAGACTGAGACACGGGGACCCCCCCCCATCCCTCCCCGGCTGGAACAGGCACCTGTTTGGGTTTCAGCAGGAATATGCCACGTCAGGTTGGGGCCAAAGCCTTCCCAGGAGACAACAGTCAGGTTGTAGGCAGCACCCGAGAGGTTGAATGCTTTCCCCAGGCGGAGGGGCTTCGTGTTTGTGGCCTTGGTCTTGCACGGGCAGGACAACATGTGTAGGTGGACATGGTAAGTCTTCCGCGTAGGCTCTGGCCTATTACAGCCTTCTGGAAACAAAAGCTGAGGCAGCTGTACAAGACAGAAGATTGGTGAAGACCATGGGTCAACGTCAGGGGCAGCCCCTGAACAACACTCACCCACAGGTGCGTTGCAACCAATGAGATGTGCCAACATTTTTTTTTTGAAAAATAGAAAAACAGCCCTCCCTGGTGGTGCAACAGGTGAAAGCACAGCAGCACTATGAAGCTAACTGCAGCCGCTGCAGCACGAGTTCCATGCCCAGCCAGGGAGTGACCCACATGGCGCAGCAGACCTCTCCTGATGCGCCTGCTGCTCCCCTTGGCAGTGTATTTCAGTACCTCTTCCTGTTCTGCTCCCCACTTTTTCTCTGGTGAATCCTCTCACCCCCCCTTATCTCTGGCCTGTACCCCAATTCTGTAAGCATAAACAAATAAACTTTTTAAAAAATTTTTTATAGTTTATTTTTACATCATTTTGTACATTTTTTTCATTTCTATTGTAATCCCCGTGGGCTTCCCATCACCAAGTCACGCGTGTGCCATCACCATAGTCCTGTGCACTTCTCCCCCCCCCATAAACAAATAAAGTTTTTTAAAAAAATAGAAAAGCATGATGCTCACAAGGCTGTAGGGAATGAGCATTCATGTCACACACACACTGGCTGTGGGGAGCAGGGGATAATTTGGTAAAGCTCACTGAGAGTCAGGAAATAAAAGGTTTCTATCTTTGGACCCTGTGCTTGAAGTCTGAATTTTATTCCGAGGAAAACAAATTCACATTAAAGGAAACAAGGAGAGAAGGAGCCCAGACATAGCATTATGGGGACAAACCACTGGGGACTGAATTGATTTTGGGGAAACCAGTAGGTAAAATATTTGGTGATTTTGTCCCTGATTCGGGTGAGAAATTTTCTTTCTGTGCCTCAGTGGTCATATCTGTACAATGGGATAACTTAGACTGTACTTAAATGAGTTATTTGGGGCCTTCAAAGGAATCATCTCCCAGAGAAAAGACTCACTTCTTTCTTCTTCTCCCAGCTTCTGTCTGAGGCCCTACAGTCTATTCCCCCATAGCAACAGAGGCGGCCTGTGAATTCCTGCCTTTGACCTTATTCCTCTGCTCCCATAAGTTCCATAGCTCCATTCACCTTTGCCCAGTTAAATCCACCATCCAGCTGGTCCTGCCACCTCCAACCCTTACTTCCCTCGGTCTCCATTTGTACACCCACACTTCAGCCTCATGTTCCTTCTCCCCATTCTCCAGGCCACCCCATATCCCTGCAATGAGCAGTTACCTGCCCTTTCAAGGTCAGCTGTCTCCTCCCATTCTGGCCAAGTGTCTCCAGTGAGATGTTCAAATTGAGTTGAGCAGGGGATTCTGCAAAGAAAATGGTAAGACAGAGATGCTGGGAATGGGGCCCCTTTTCACAATGTTTTGTAGACCCTAGATGGAAACCAGAAACCTCCTCTTTTCCTCCCATGAAGCACAGAATTCCCATGGGTTATTAAATCATTTTCAGAATCTGAAAACTTGGGGATTCATCATACAACAATGCTAATATATTTAATGCTATTGTACAATACCCTGAAATGGTCAAAATTGTAGTTTATTTATTTTTAACCACAATTAGAGAAAGTATGTGAACAGAATTCCTGGAGTTTTTCCCAGCTGATATGCACTTGGGCAAGAGGAGCCCCAGTTTGCAAGCCTGGGGGAGTCAGCTCATGACCGCTTGGAGTTGCTAGCGCTCTAGCTTCCTGTATCATTTGGGAAAATAGGTCTTTACAACATAGTCATTTTGTGTGTCAACTTCTGGTGCAACTTTGAAAGAATAAAACCAGTCAAGTTAATTTGGTGGAGATCCTGAGAAGTGTTTTCTTTGTAGATTAGGGGTTCGCCACACTTTATAAAGTGAAATTAACTCGCCATCCCATGCTACCTTTCACTAATTTCTCCTGAACCTTATTTCTAATATGTTTTGCCTGATTTCTTTGTTTTTGTTTTAAAGATTTATTTATTTATGCATATAAGAATTGGGGTAGAGGCCAGACATGCAGGGGGTGAGAGGATTCACCAGAAAAAGAGTGGGGAGCAGAACAAGCAGATCAACAAAGTCCACTGCTGAGGGGAGCAGTGGGCAGGTCAGGAGAGGTCTGCCACGCCAGGTGGGTCACCTCCAGGGCTGGGGGTTGAACTCGCACTGAAGTGGCTGCAGCGAACTTGCAGTGCTGTGTCCTAACCCACTGAGCCACCAGGGAGGGCCAATGTTGCCTTATTTCTAAGACTTGTCACCTGATTTCCAATTCTTTGCCCTGGCCTATGGCCTGGGGGGTTCTCACCAAGGGGGATGCACACAGGGCTCCAGTTGCTCCAGGGACCCCTTGGCCCTTGCCAGCGCCTACGGAGTTGAAATTCCTGAGCCACATCTTTCCTCCAGGGACAGAGGCACGACTCTGGGGAGAAACAAGTGAGACATTGGGTTACAGGGCTCCCCACACCAGAACTTGGCACTGTTCGCTAGACCATCGTGTGACCATCGAGTGACCTGTGTACAAAGCCATGTGCTAGGCCCCTGGGGATGTGGCAGGAACAGGACAGGCCCTACCCTCTTGTGGCTTCATGGATCACCCTCTTCTGACTTAAATCCTCCCTGGATTTAAGTCTTGGCAAGGCTCCCCCTTAAATTGTCAAGGGCTTAGATTGGTCAATGGCTTTGTGTTCCCAAACTTTCTTTGCCCACTTGTGAAATGGGAGCGATCCACTACTTGAACTACAGGGCAGGCCAATACTAGACCCAGTATATAAGAGGTGCTCAATCAATGCTGACTTGTGGCAGCTCTTGTTACCTTCATTACTCTCACGGAAGCCAGCATCATCCTGCCTTCCACAGTTACCCTAGAAGAAAAAACCCATGTTGACATTTTACATTTTGCTATTGAAAATATTAGCTCTCGAAATTATAAAATGTAACGTGGACCCTCAGATTGGATCCAGGGACAGAGAATATTCTTGGGAACACTGGTGACATGCAAATAACCTCTGGAGTTGAATTCATAGCAACAATCCTGCAAACATCTGTCCCGACAAACACCCCCAGAATGTGAGACGTTAACATGGAACGAGGGAGGAAGGAGTGGGGAGAACGTTAGCAAAGCCATGTGGGAGGGCTCTATATTTCTCTTGTTATTTTTCTGAAAATCTAAGATTATTCCAAAACAAAAAGTTTATTAAAAAGAAAGCTAAATTCTTATGTCATATATTTTCTAAGATTGTTAGGAGACAGAACTTCCCATTGTGTGGTACTGGGGATTAGAGAGCCAGATTTGGGGTCCAGCCTGTCACCCCAAGAGACCCTTGACATGCTGAGACTCAATTTCCATATCTGCAAAGGGGGCTGAGAGGGTGTAGTGTAGAATGTACTTAAGAGGCTGGGACTAAAAAAACATAGATTTCCTGTTGCCTGCCGACCCAGCCACACCCATTCATCTGTCAGGGAAACGGAGGCTCTGAGGAAGCACACAACATCTGGGGGAAGCAAGGACTGAAGCTGAGGCAGCTCCCTGTCCTCAGGATGCTTTCCATCTGAAGAAGGCTATCTCCCCTAAACTGGAGGTTCCTTGGGGGCTAGGTCAAGATTGAGGTTTCCCAAAGTCTTGCTGCACCTGCCGTGTGCTGCGAGGGCTAGAGCAGTAAGAATGGTCAAAGTCCAAAGAATACAGTTAGATGGCCAACAAGCAGATGAAGAAGCTCAATCCCACTAATTATCAGGGACATGCAAAATGAAGCCACACTGAGAGAATTATTATCTTCAAAAAGACCAGAAGTAACAATTGTTAGCGAAGACATGGAGAGAAAGGAATCTGTGCGCTGCTGTGAGTGGAAAGTGTTACAGTTGCTATGGAAAAGGGGACTCCTCAAAAAATTAGGAGTAGCTCCTAGGTATCACCCAAAAGACACAAAAACACTGATTCTAAAAGACACCTGCACCCCCATGTTGACTATTTACAATAGGAAAGACATGGAAACAACCCAAATGCCCCAAAGTAGATGACTGGATTAAAAAGATGGGGTACGTATACACAATGGAATATTACTCAGCGATCGAAAAAGATAAACTCATATCTTTTGTAGCAACGTTGATGGAGCTGGAAGGAATCATGCTTAGTGAGATAAGCCAGAAAGAAAAGGAAAAATACCGGATGGTTTCACTCATAGCAGGAGCATAAAGGACCACGGGGAGAAATAATAATGATGAACAATGATATACCAGAGACATTTTA